AACACTGGCCAGCAGACAGGGATTGAGAGGACCTGAGAAACTACGTTGGGCCAATATGTATGGTTTTGAATGATTTATATAATACACCATTTCTAAATACATCCAAAAAGACAGTTCAGCACCATGATGACATTTGAAATGACTGATCTGATGCACCTTTTTAATCCAGACAATGATTTTCTTGATTAATAGTTTGTGCAATAGTTTGACTTATTGCTCATATTGTCTCAGGGGAAAAGAGAAAAAAGCTTTCCAGAAAAACATTTTTTTAAAGAACTATTTTGCTTAAGAACTATGCTAAAAAACTTTGGCAAATTTAAGCTAAATTGAAAACGTAAATTTTAAGATCCAATTACCATCATCTATCTACTCTGTGTTTTTGATGTCTGTTACTTTGATGTTTTTTATCACCTTATTTGCCACTGATATACCCAGGTCTCTCTTGAAAAAGAGATTGCAAAATCTCAATGAGACTACCTGGTAAAATAAAACTGAGATGTGCTAATTTAGTTATCATTCAATAAACATTTAATTGCTTGTTTTGAAAATTGCTTGTTTTGACTTTTATATGCATTTGTAGAGCTGTAAACATAAGGAAGATATCGCCCTAAAATCTGTAGTGTCAATTAGAAATCAAGATTAGAATAATAAGCATATTTTTTTAATATGTCGGCATGTATTCCTTCTGCACTGTAACTTGCTATAAAAGTTCTGTTTCACTGTGCTGAATGCTACTTTAATAAACTATTCTGAATAAGGGTGTAATGTTCAATAAAAGCCTTGCTACCAATTCAGAAATGTACATTGTTAATTAGCAGTGGCTTGACATGGCTTTGTAACAGTAACAATAAGCAATTAGAGACTGGCAGGGATCTTCTCCTTCACAGCTCCCTCTGAGGCAGACAAATAAATGCAAAGACGGAGCAACAATCAGTATGTTTTGTGTGTGTGTGTGTGTGTGTGTGTGTGTGTGTGTGTGTGTGTGTGTGTGTGTGTGTGTGTGTGTGTGTGTGTGTGTTTCAGTCTAAGAAAGGGAAAGATAGTCCACAGAATGTGTGAATGAGGCAGACTGAATGGATAGTTTGTGTGATTCTATATTTTTTTTTACCTTTAGATATGCTTGTTCAAGTTCAAGCCAACAAAACGTGTGGCTGAAACATGCATGTGTTAAGGGCTATCGAGCTTGCTTGATTTTTGTCTGCTGCCTTAATGCTTTTCATCTAAGAGAAGATCTGGTTTCCAGAATATGTAGGTGGACTGTGGCGATAATAATGGTAAAAAATAATCCCTCTGATGTAAAGTGTCTTGAGAATGCATTCTTGTATAGTTTATTTTTTTTTTATAGTTTGCCATACAAAAACTCCAGCAATATTTTTGTAAATCAGTGACTGATGGTGGTGCAGGTGTGAGACACTCAACTGATTCTTGGAGGCCTGCTCCATCAGCAGAGAAAGCTCCCTCATGAATTGACCGCAGAGCTGGTTCTTCTCTGACACTCCAGACATCATAGTCAACCAGACGGGTTCAGACACACGGGGCATGGTGTAGAGGTCGCAGATGGTCATTCTAGAGATTAGGTATGGCAAGGGAGGGTGGGATGAAAGAGGGAGCGAGCATGGAGAGAGCGAATGAAAGGAAAGTAGGGGAAGAGAGAGAAAACAGACAGAGGGGGAACAGGCACGTTATTGTCTCGTGGAGTGAACAAAAGAGATCTCAGTTCACAGAGATTCACTGTCTGCTCTGAGGCCATGGAAGACCCTGGTTGTGTGAGTGTGTGTGTTTCTTTACAGTCTGCAAAACTTGTGCACACTCTCACACAACACTGTTTCTTGCTCTTTACAGTGTGCGGGTGTGCTAGTGTGTACGTCCATCTGTATGAGGCTCAGTTGAGGCATTTGTCCATTGAGAAGGACTGGAGTTTCCATAGAGCGTGGGGCCTGCTGGTGAGCATGTCTCGGCTGTGGGCCAAGCTTTGACACAGGGGCAGAGGGGAATCTCTGCAGCCTGAGGAATGTGGAGAATCAGGCTTTTATAAAAGATGGGCTGCAGCTGTTTGAGCATGGGTTCACATATTCACAAAACAGGTTTTTTTCCCTTTATGGATGAGGTATTTCTGACTGTTGTATCTGCTTACAAACACATACTGCAGCAATATACCATTTGCATTCTTCAGTGAACACAGCAGGCCGTACTGTTAATAAATAAAAACACTTGTTTTGTTCTCCAAGCCTGATTTAGTCTTAATTTCTCAGGCTGTAAACCGGTCCTATTCTGCAGTAAACTCCCACTTCTGGCGAACCCTGGGACACAGAAGACAAGGCCGCATGATAAAAAAAAACAGAACAAGTGTCACACAGTAACAAGTGACCTTCAGTAGAACTTCAGTATTCCAGTAATCAAGTTATTTTCGCATTATTTTTTATATTAGTTTGCATATTTAGGAGAAGAAGTTATCAACTGAATTATTGTCAGCATGATAGCAGACATGCTCCATCACTGGGACTGAAGCATCAAATTATCCAATAATGATTCATTCCTATGTTACAAACAGCTTGGACTTATCAGTGGCCTTTGAAAGATGCACTTGACCCACTATGTCCTGTGTACGTTCACTTTCTAAGGCTGAGCCAGTGTTTGATGAGCAGAAGATCTAGTCTCAGCTTCTCCATAGCAGCTGTTCAGGTGAACTTTAAGGAGTGAGCTTATGAAGTAAAATTAAATTGTTATGTCTGGCAGAAGGATGAGATATAAATGATCTCACTATGGAGGGCAGCAATTCAAACATTTCTAATCATCTCAAACACTTCTGATGTTACTGTGTGATGTTCTTCCTGAGCCTCGTTCTTACTGAAATTAAAAGCTAAACAGCTATGTTATGGTTCCAATCACAACAACAAAATCTGAATATAATAATGACTTTTACTTCTAAGTTCACATATTAATAAACTCAATGGGTTTTAACTGATGTTCTGTCTCCCATTTGTATGTAGTTCATGTAACTTTATGCTATAATAAGCTCCAGCATTATCTTGAAAGCAATTATCAGGCTGTAGAGTAGTATCCATGTGTGCTTACTTTTGGCGCATTTAGTGAAAACTTTTATCCAAAATGCTTCACAGAAAACAAGTTCATTTTTTAACTTTGTGTAGTATAAGGGAAATTGAAGTCCTAACTCTGATAGGTAGTGGTTTTGCCTCTCTAACAACTGCAAACCCCCCCACGTAACCCCCATTATAGGCTGGTGTCACTTTTATGTTCACATGCCTCTTCTAAGTGCACAGCTTATCTTTGCCAGCATGCATGGTTGAATGTGCATGCCCGCCTCCAACTACGTCAAAGCAGCATCAAGCAAAGGCATTTCTTCCAGTTTCCTTGTGTAATGTTCCATGAAGTCAAAACCCCTTAATGGCAAAGGTGGTTTCGCTTATATTTAGCAGCTGTCTGAAGGTGAGATTTTAACAGATATTTTGTTTGTCGGGGGCAATGGCATTCCTCCTGATGGCACTCACATTTTTTTTTACTATTCTGGTGCCCATGGCCAGTGTCAGATAGGGTTGCCACTCAGGAGGCTTGGGTTGCTGTGGCCAGCCGCCAACAGGCATATGACTGCGGCATGCAGGGAACCCAGACAGGGAATTGCCAGCCTGTTTGTGTGTGGCAAGTGAAAGCTGGGTATGGCATTTCATTAGCATCAGAACCAGAACACATTAAAACAAGGTGTGTGCATATGATATCAGCACACAGAACAGTAAATCCGGAACCTGAGAAGCATCCTCACAAGGAAATATTATGACCCTGCTGACATAAATTCTACCCTGCAAAAAAGGAGCTGCGATGAGAGCAAACTTGACCCGACTTACATCCTCACAATCTTAATGACTTGCTTTTTGTTAGGAGTTGAGAAGTATCTAGAAGTTCCTATTACTAACTTACACACAACCAAAGCCGTTGAGTAAGAACTCCCAGCATGCACTGCAGCTACAATGCAACATCTGTGGTTTGCTTAAGAAAGGTAGTGTACACTGTGTTTCTCCATTCTTTTACCAAACATATTTTGACATACTTTTTGGGGGTTGGTATTTTTGTATTCTTTATGAAACTCGTAAGGTAAAATAAGTGACAAAAATAATATTATTTGAACAACAGAGGCTGTGAGTATTAAACTATCCTTACACATAAATACCAGAGTATTCATTAATTATTGATCGCTCCAGTAACTTGAGCATAATGAGAGCATCCCTTTAACTAACTCATGTCCTTTGGTTCTTAAAGCTTCATCTTATAATAAAGCCTATTCAAACAACCAATTCTATTGAAGCTCTATTATTTTATGGGGAAAAGATGCATTTAAGTGTCTTGTAAAGGTATGAAATAGTGAAAGCAAAAATTATCCCTGGTAAACCCTTATGAAAGGTCACTTGTTTTGTTATCCACAGGATGAAGCAGCTGTTATGTATTAAAAGGTAATCAGCAAAACAGTTTACTGCCTGCTTGAAAAACAAGCTGCTTCTTAACTTTATAAACTATTCTTGGAATGACAAGCATGTGTTAAATAGTTGTCAGTTCGTTAAAGTTGCCCATATTTAAGTGTCATAACATAAGTAACACCAGATTAGTATGGGCACTTGTAGCTCGTAGTTCTTAAAAGTAGGTCATACTTTTAAGAACTTTGGGAGTGAACTACAGGTTTATGTTATTTAAGTCAACATGGCTTTATTGCAATTCTGACAAATTCTACATTAAAAGTCAATTATTTGCTGCTGGTTCTCCGTCCTTCACCAGTGCAGCAGTGACTTTTCTTCTACATGAAGCAGTCATTTGCTGACTCGTCGTAACCTCTCATTTCTCTTTAAAACACACCTGCCTGTCCTAAAGTACACCCTGCCTACATTCCTTTACTACCAGTTAATGCATTTTTCTGTTCATGTGCAGTGTAGAATGATAAACAACATGAATAACACATGCTCTTGTGTCAGCAATACATTATATGAAACCAACAGTGCTTATAAAGTGCAGCCTCCATTGCTTCAAAACTAATTTTTTGCACCCAGGGAGAAAATGAGTGTTTGACTATGAAACAGAGAACTGAATGTCAGAGTGATGTTGGCTTCAGTGTTGAGAGTTAGCTGATAAACCTGCAGAAAAAAGGTTGAGAGAATTTTGTGTGCCGATAGAAAAATGTATGCCATTTTAAATGAACCCTCCCGTTGGGCATTGAAAGCTAATCTCTTTTTTTTTTCCATGTATAAAGGTAAAAAGCATTTGGATTCCCACATTTTCATTACAAAGACTCTGTTTGAAGTAAACTATGTTGTAACTTTTTTTCAACAAAAGCTGATATTGGTGGTTTGTCTTGTTCGCTACGTGAGATAAATGTATGGGTTATAGTGGGTGAATGTGAGTTGTTTTCTAACCTGAACTCGTTCAGTCCATCCACCATACGGCTGTAAGCCAAGGCCCTCTGACTGGCATCAACTGACCGTCGACTCATCTTCATGGCCTTGAGAATGACACACACACACCTTTCAGATATTTGGCAAGTGAAGCTGACAGACAGAGTTTCATGAAAGGTTGAACAAGGTATGTGTAAAGGGGGTAGAGAGGGAAAGGGGGCAGGAGGGAGGATGTAGGGTTAAACTGGAAGCCATCCAGATATTAGAGTATGCCAACCACAGACACTGGTAAACAGAACTGCAGATATACACAGAATGACAACTGTATCAGCCAATCTGATAGCAACTCTGCTCATTACAAGAGCAAAGGGTGTAAGGTTCACATTTGAGTACTATTCATACCCGACTTCTAAATGGATTTTACTGACAGACTTGTTTCCACAATGTCAATTAGGGAGGTGATCAGGAATATAAATTCAGAAAATCAGCCATTGAAAAGCACGTTTGGAAGTGTAACAAATTAAAATTAAAGTAAAGCAGTAGTGTCGACGACAGTGAAAGAAACACAAAAGAGAGACATCAAAAATACAACATACAGTCAGTCAATAACCTCAGTAATAGAGCCAAACTCACCTGTTCGATGGCACTCTTGAGTTTGTTCATGTGACTTTCAAAAAGAGGGAAGTGGGAGAAAAAGAAATCCTGGAAGCGGCTGTTCTCTTCCGGGTTTGGCGACAGCATAAAAATGACCCCTATGGCAATCTTCTTCTTTCTAGCCACACCAAGGCTTGGTCCACCGCTTTCATCAGACATGTTGAAGCTCTCCTCAACTGACCTGATCAGGACAAGATACACAGGGAGTCAACTTCAGGGCAGGGAGAGATCCAGAACACCTTCTGAAGTTGATTTATGTATGCAGCTGCTGAAACATACTCTTATCATACCTTCCATATTCACTTGCATTCCTTGTTTGAAGACTATTTCTAAGTGTCTGTCTTGTACTTTTACAGCAAGTTGATGCAGTCAAATGCTTATATAACCATTAAATAGTCAACATACAAAAAATATTGTATCTATTTTAACAGTTAACATATGTGTCTTAGTATTATTTGCTGCTTGCTTCAACAGAAAATAGACTTTTAATCTTTTCATTTTTTACTGTTGCAGTAGGTAAACAAGATGCTTTGGTGCTGCTGAACTTTACCAACGAAAAGGTAAGAGCACACAGAGACTGACAGTTGCATTTTCAGTGCGGGCCAACACAGCATTGTCTAGTCAAAGCAACTTGTGTGGGAGTGAATGTGTGCGAGTGTGTGTGTGTGCCCAGCTGCCTGCTAGATTTTGAGGAAGCCGTTGCAGGTTAACCTTTATAAAAGCCTGATAGAAGCCCTGAAGAGGGAAGAGTAATGAAGGGAGGTTAGCTGTTATGTTAAGGACATGGTGGTGTATGTGTGTGTGTTTTTGATGTTGTGCAGTAAAGTCCAGGGGATAAAAACATGTCTCTCTGCCAAGCTTCCCTCAATGGACTATATGCATGAAAAATACTTTTTTTTTTTACATTTTCTTCAATGCATTTACCATAAAGTGTTCTAAATTGTATCTTGCATTGATACGAGTGCCAGTATGATGTAAGGTTTCTCACCATCGGGGGAAGACACCATTTTCAAGGCTGGTGGTTTGGCTGCGTAGCCACCGACGCTGGTAGCTGGATGCACAGCTGCTTGTCAGCGAGGAGCCAGGAGATGGAAAGGGAGTGATCAACAGGCTGCTCAGGGAAGCTAAGGGGACAGATGGAGACATGGATGGAAGATACAAAGGGAAGGTTTTAGAAATCAAGGGAACAAAGAGAAGGAGGAGAACAGCAGAAAGGAATAGAATAGGGATCAGATGGAGAGAATGGTGGGTGACAGGAGAAAAGGACAATAATGAGTCAGAAAACAAGTGTGTAGGGTACCTGTTTCTCACCAACACACTGTGCAGACACACACCAACACACTGTGCAGACACACACCAACACACTGTGCAGACACACACCAACACATTCTTAGGGTGCACTCGCACTAACAAAGGTGTCCCGTACCTTGTCTAAGCACGATTGTCCCCCCTCCCCATTCCCCCGCTGGCCTGCACTCACACTGCTCTAGGCCTGAGCATGGTTACCTCTTGTATATAAGGTCGTAAAACAACACATGCATGGCGTTACATAATTATGAAGCGTGCAAAGTTTACAAGACAGTCGGACTCAAGAAAAAAGAAAAAGAAAAAAATAGGGAAGCGCTGTCGGGTCTGTGTCCGCACATCGGAGAACAACGTGGAGAACAGGACAGATATTTTACTGACTTTGTGGTTTATTTTGAGTCATTTAAGTCAGATACAGCCAGAACACTCTGGGATTTCTCCATAATGAAGGCTGTCAACGCTGCGTACCCGCATGCTTGTGCTCGGGAATGAACTGTTCCGTGCCAAATCACACCTCTCCGAAGCGTGCCTGGGCCAAGGAAGTGTACCGCGCTTGAGAACGGATCGGAGTACTCAAACTGGTCAAACAAACAGCACTTTAGTGGTAAAGCGTGCTTGGGCACGATACGGATTGCCTAGTGTAAGTGCGTCCTAAAACATTACAACACAGAGCTAGACAAAAATCTGACGGACAACAAAGCACAAAAGACCAACAGAAATACACAAAACATAATCAAAACACAAACACACACACACCCATCCCTTTTTCACACTCACAACACACAGACTCCAATTACAGAAAAGCTTTGGTAAGAGATCTAATGTCAGCCAGCTTTGGTAAGAGAAAGCTTTGGTAAGAGATCTAATGTCAGCCAGCTTTGGTAAGAGAAAGCTTTGGTAAGAGATCTAATGTCAGCTAGCCTACTAACAGTCACATTGCAGTTGTTTGACAACCTGGCTTTACACCAGACTGGCATGGTAATAACATTCTAGCTACCCATACGTACATACAAACAGAACACAAGCCCTGATCACAGGGTTATTTACAGCCCATGCAGTAGGCTGTGATCAATGTTCACATGAGCAATTTAGATAGTGTTAGCTCTTTTGAGAAGAGGTAAGTGTAGATATTACTATGAGGTGAGCAAAGACAAATCATGATATTTAAATAAAAAGTAGAAACGTTTGACAAAAAGGTCCATGAAGGATAAGATTTGGGTTACAGAGGTAAGTGTTTATATTGTGTATGTGTCAAATTTGAAAAAAGGGCTCTCCAGCCAGACTGCAGAGGGGAGGTGGAGAGAGCGAAGATGAGAGGACAAGTCTTGAATTAGAAGCTCATTTACTAGTAGCGGGTATTCAGAGTTGCTATATTTAATCCTCTGCATGTGACCTGGGTTTCAGCAGAAAGCACAATTCCCCTCATACCAGTCATGCCAGTGGGGTATGGTGGTGTTTGTAGAGGGGGGTAGGGGGGCTTAGGGCAGCAAAGGGGTCAGTTTCCATTGCACAAGGTTTTTTCAGGACCCTGGAGGCAGTGTAAACACCTCTACACGGTCCTCCAGCACTGCATCATCTTACTTGTTTTTCCTGTTTTAATTTATTTTTGGGCTTTTTATGCCTTTATTGGAGAGGGGGGACAGTGGATAAATTGGGAAGAGAGAAAGTAAGTGGGGAATGGAGCCACAGGTGGAAATCGAACCTGGGCCACCCAGGACTCTAGTCTCTGTACATGGGGCATGCACACTAATAACTAGTTAGTGGTCTCCTCCTTTCTTTTAGCTTTAAGTCAAGAATACTTCTCGCAAATTGGTTAACTTTGAAGAATTGGCATTAGGAGGAGGAATATTCTCTCTGCCACCACAGCACAGCTCACCTTCCTGACTCCAATTCCATACACACCAAAATTGACCTCAACGCCTCTATGTTGTATTAATGAATGGAAACTGTGTGCCTCCTCTGCGTCTGCATGCCAACTCAGTGAAGTGGCCGCTTAGGAAGCACTGGTACTTATGTAACTGTTCACACCCTTGACCTTGAACAGTGTAGTCCAAGAAGGGTCAACCATTGAGTCCCAGGATGTTCTTGATATCAAAGCTCATTAAGTTCATTTATCACGTTTTGGAGAATACAGACGACAGCGCCAAAGATCAAAAAGGTTTTCAAGATAAGAAGGAGAAAATCAGAAGTTTCATAGTCCAATATTTTCTTCACATACTCTTCATCTTTTCTGTTACTTAAACTTTGTGGTCAAGTATACATGTGGATCTATTTCAAAGCTCAGCTGTAAAGCTGAAAGCTGTATGGAGTGTAGGTTAATCCAGGCTTACGCTTCAAGTCTCATGAACCTACCTGACCTGGCGATGCCGCTGTCCCTCTCGTCGTAAAGCCCTCGGCCAGGCATGTCCATCGGATGGCTGTGGCCTAGAGGAGACAAGAAGGAGAAATATGGAGAGAGAAAGTGAGGGTTGGGTTAAGTCAGAAGGGAGAGGGAAGAGGGCAGTAGGAGACCAAGTTCAGATCATGTAAGGGATAAAAAGATAAGAGACGTTTTTATCCAGATGATGTTTTATTCAACATATTGCATTCACTTAAGAATGTATGCTTGTATGCTTAAAACATTATGTGTAGGCTATATCTTGCATAAATGTAACAATTAATTTCATACAATCATATTTATTTTGATGTTGATTTATGAGTGGACAGGAAGCTGATGGTTTCACTTTTGTTACTTGTAGCCTGGTAGTCTATATTGCTTTTATTTCAATCCCAACCTTGTGGTAATTAGGATTATTTCACCGGTAAGAAGGCACAGGGGAAAGTGTTTTAGATGCGCTTTTTGTAGTCCATTTTCAGAACATTGTAGTTTCAACACGGCGGACCCACGTCATTAACCTCCGCCGGCCCGTCGCATTAAATGACGTCGCCTAGTGGAAAATGTGGTCGGATTGACAGAGCCACGAGATCGCCTTTCCCTAAGTCCTTTATGAATTCTCCCAACATCTTTCCTTACCCTCATGACATTTTCCCCGGGGTTAAGGTAAAGTTGATAGTGAAAGGAGATAGGAGGGACAATTCGAACGCACCCTATGCTTCATGACCACACCAACATTGCATAACAAACAGATCTACACACCATGCCGACCTAAGGACAGCCAGAAACAGTATTCTTGATATGCTGTATTACAGGCTATTTAGTAATCACCACCAATTCACTCAGCAAGGGCAGAAGTATCTCCCCACCACATGCAAGAGAGGAAGGGAGAAAAAAAACACAGAATACCTCTGGAGAAAGAGCTCTCTGATCAGCATGACACAATGAATGATAGGAAATTGAGCTGAGTGGAAGTTAGTACTTAATTCTATTGCTACACTCAGTTTTCGTTGCAATGATACAAAGTTTCACTCACTTTAAGTTAAAATAAGGAAGATGGATACAGCTTCAATGCTTTGAGTAGCTATCTGGATTGTTCTGTTTCACAGAGAAGTGAAAACTATTCTTGGTAGGAAACATTAAGCTGATCAAAAAGCTCATCAAGAAAAATGTGTTTAATTCTTTACAGTGATGAATGAAACATGGGCAATAAAGTCTGTGTGAATGTAAGGGTATACAACAATGGTTGATCAGTTGATTCTCATGTAAAGAACAGAGTTTTTGCATTGGTCACTATAGCTGGTAGATATCTCTGGACTCTCTGTAAGTGGAACAGTGACTGAAATATTAATGGTTTAAATTCCCAGAAAGCAGATTAAGTGCAATATTGAGTAGCTTTCTCCTTTCCTTTAATAGCTTCATACAGGCGGCCCTAGCAGAAGGGATTTCACTTTTATCTGGTAAGGTGCAGTTGCACAGCAGGCTAGGTTATAACTGTATGAATGTTGGAGAAAACTTTGTCAGTGTGTGCACACATGCTGCATCATAAAAAGTTTACAGGTAAGAAAACAAAAGTATATTTTTAAACAGCCACAAAATATTAATGTATAAAATGCACGGAAGCCTAGAATTAATTGCCCAAGTATCACAATCAAAGTCAAAGACAAGTTAAAGTATGTGAGTGGAAAGACAAGATGAGAAGTAAGTGCAAAAACATTAACTAAAAAATATTCACCTAGACCAGTGAGAACCCATGCACACCTCTTTTGAATGCACACCTGCAGGCCTGGGTCAGCTAGTACTGGCAGATATATTTTATGACTTGATTGACAAAACGGTATGACTATGGCTTAGATTGTTTAAATTAACACTGTGATAGCAAAAAAAAACAAAAAAACAGAAGAGGTCACATATTCGTCTGATTTTCTCAGTTGTAGTTTGTATTGTTTAGTTTCACTCCAATTTTATGTGAACCAAAGCTTTAAAAAGATGTTCTCATCTGCCCAAATGAACTTTTCTCAGCAAAGATATATTTTTTTCTTAGAGAGGATCATACCAAAGATTCCTTAAACAATTATTTGTACAGCTTCTATCTGACCCAAGTCATTTGCAGTCATGCTGTGATATTGCATGCTTTGACTATTGCTACCACTTCTAGTGCAAGAATCACCACACAGGCATGCAGCTGCCAAGAGTCAGGGCCTGTATCAACACTAGTGCTGCCCATAACTACGGGCTACAGGCATGCATGCAACTGGCACACATCAATCATGGCCAGTTTAAAGCGCCAACCTGAAAAGAAAGATGCGCTCTTGATGAGGCGCAGAGGGCCCTGTTCAGAGAAGGCCCGCCGAGGGCTGCAGAGCTGAGAAAATCCTGCGCAGCATCAACAAAATATGAAAAAGAAGAAAGGAAGAGGGAAAAAGACAACAAAACATGAACCATGGTTAGTGAATGAGTTAAGAGGAAAGCCAGCTGCCTCCTGTACTCTAAATATCTTGTAGTTGACAATTAAGTTACAGGAGCTTTTTTAGTCTGGAATGAAATAAAAGCAAACATCTGTTAGGTCATTTGGACAGACAATGAGACAGAAGACTGGCATCAGTCACAGAAAACACAACCAATCAAACCAATAAATAACAACATTTTTTATGTATCTACAAATTTATTATTTTTGTGTTTTCTGTGAGGATGACGCAGAGACAGTACACATAAGCATTGAATTTGCCCACACTTCTTTAAAAACATCATTCTTTTAGGACCCTGTCATATTGTAAGTAAAACTGACACCATCTTTCACATAGAGTTGTAAGCACAATCATTGTGAGTTTCTGAAAAAGCAGAAGTTGACTCACAACAGCGCTATACTCTTTTGACTGTTTGATAGGACAAAGTTAGATTCTACATATTTACAGAGAAAACTTGCACTGTGTAGAAGTTCCAGCAGTTTGTGAAGTTATTGAAGGGGAGGAACAAGGAAAAGCTGTTGGCAGAGTCAGAGCCCGGATTTGAGTCAAACACAAGTGTTTAAATTCAGAAAGAGAGAATGAATAAAATCAGTTGCTTTCCTACATTTTGCACTTGATCTTATATTTAAAAGAATAACATTTATTTTGTGTGTTACTCTAATCAAGTAGTTCAGCAATTATTATTGTTTGGAAATATAAGCACTGACAATTGAGGGAACATAGGAAACTAAATAAAAGTGAGTGAATATGATTGTGTATAAGCTTCAGATGTCCATAACTTCCCTAGTAGTTATCTATGGTAAGAATAATGGATTTAAAAAAGACTCCCACTTTTATTTCTATCCATTTTACCACAAATTATAAGAAGGAATTGGGTTGAGGGTATTTGTTGTAGCCCATGGTTTCCATGTTTACCTATGTTCCCAAGGAGACTGTTGGTCCCGGTGTTTTGATCAGGCCTCAGGGTGTTACTGTCCTGTCCAATGAACTCAAGACTGTCCTGTAACCTGTGAGGGATGACAATTGAGGTTAATCGTTAAATGAAATCGTTAAATGAAAAACAATGACACTGTACATACATAAATATGTATATTACTTTTTTTTTTTTTTTTATAAATGTAATTTTAACAACAATAACAAAAGATAAAGATAGTGGTTAAAAATAAATAAGTAACAACCAAACAAAGGGTTGGGGGGAAAAAAAAGACTGAAAGTGAGAAACATAGACAGGCAGGGTGACGTGTCAGTGGTTGACATTTTGACCATAGTTGAGACAGACTGTAAGAGAAAGATGAAAACATGTCTGCGTGTAGAAGAAGCTGCTGTAGGAATCAGAGCATAAAGTGGGTGTGTAATTGTAGATAAGCATGTGAGAGCTTACGTGTTGAGACTGCCATACACACTGCCTCCCGTTCTGGCGGTGAACACCTTACTCAGCATCAGCTGAGGTGGCGACCTGATATGACGTTAATACAGGGACAAAGATCATTATGATGAGTGCATTTTGAGTGTCTGTTACATCTGACCCCATTTGACTCTTTTTCTTCATCGATTACAACATTTGAGGTTTAAAAACTACTTTTGGGGGAGAAAATATCAAATCAAACTGGATTGTATTTTTTTGCTTTTACTATACAGCTATCCCCATACCAAATATTAAAACTCTTTGTAAAAAAAAATGATTCTGATTAAGACCAGTATCAGCTGTCATCGCTATACTTCTTACCTGATCTGGTGGATTTTAAGTGTGGAACCTTTGTAGCTCATAGCCACAGAGCCAAACATCATTTCTCCAAGCATTACCACATCGGACGAACACCTTGAACCCTTAGAGATGCACACATTTTTAAACACATGAGTAGTGTGTGTATACCTGTAGCTGTGAAAGTATGCTGCATATGCATTACTGTAAATCTATCCATGCAAGATATAGTTCAACGTTGCATACAAGTTTCTGATATGCGTTACCTGGAAGCGCAGGCCCTGCTCCTTGGTTTCCTTGGTTTCAGAGGCGCAGGAGGAGGAGCTGTCCAGGGAACTGCTGCTACCTCCTGTAGGTCGGAGCTGGCAGCATTTCCCAAACATCTTCACCTGGCCTTCAGAGCTCTACAGGGTCAAAAAATAGGGTATTATACACCAAGTTTCTATAAACACAAAACCAATTTAATATGCAGAGGGTTCAAATTACAGCAGTCAAAATAACTGAAAGTATTGCCTCTTCATTCATGCAGAAGTGAATTTCAAGAGCTTAACCTTATGGTGAAAGGTACTTTATTTTTTTTATTTTGTTCACTGCTATTAAGGATACAAACATATTTATGCAGCCTCTGAAAACACACACATTGCAAAGTTGGTAAACCAGCCACAATCAGCAGCAACAGCTAAACTTTTAAAGTTGCATTTCAGGTCGGCAATCACTTCTCATAGATAATTTGTGAAAAAGATGTGCAACAATAAAGCAACATTATCTGAGCCTTTGTAGTCGTGTGCACAGCTACAATAGATGAAATCAGATATTTATTTGTTTTGTTTGTGAAACGTTTGGGTACTTTTAAGAGAAATGATTCATTGATATGGCTGCAGATAATCCAATGAAGAGGCAGAAGGGTGTAGTCATGGAGACTTCACTAACATAAACATGAAAGAAAGTGACTAAGAGTACATGTCACACAAAAGTCACATTCCCCACATCATTTTAACAAGTCTGAAAAATGAAAAGGCAGATATGGAGTGAATCTCTTGAAGTAAAACTCTAAATAAAGTAGATTGTTCAGGTTTAAAAGGCGTAGAAACCTAACCCAGAAGCACTTGTGTAAACAGCAAACTAAAAGCAATGTGAGCTCAATCAGCCTGTGTCATGTGCCTTCTTAACTTGGCAGACTATGCAGGAGGAATGCATTTGGGAGGGCAGGGAGCAAAGGGGGAGTGTGGGTGTGTGTGTGTGTGTGTGTGTGTGTGTGTGTGTGTGTGTGTGTGTGTGTGTGTGTGTGTGTGTGTGTGTGTGTGTGTGCTTGTTTTAGCTAGGCTCTGGTAATGGCTCACTTGAAACCACTATTGCTGCCAATGTAAGGGAGAGGGAGAGAAAGAGAAAGAACAGGAAAACTTAGAGGCAGAAAGAGAAACAATGGCAAAGGGAGGATAGATTTGCTTCATTTTGCTTTATGTTTGTAGCTTGGTGTGTACATGTGTGTGTCGTGTGTATTCTTTTACACAAAAATGCTTAAAGAGGGTTATTGTTACACACATATCAACACAAATGGTAATGAAGCCAAACCAACTCTGAGCGAGTGTGTGTTTGTGTGTGTACATGGGCGTGTGTGTCCGCTGCAGTGCAGTGTGAGGTGTGTACACAGAGGCCAGCAGCATGTGACTGGCAGTCATATGACTCTTTCGGGAACTCGTGAGCGAGAAGCACTGCAATCATCCCCTCCCTCCCTCCTGCTCTCTCTTTCTCCCTCCCTCCCCCACTTCAACCTCATCTCTCCATTTCCTGCAGTTTTCTTTCTTGCCTTTAGCAAATTTATTTTCCTCCTGGATCACATTCACATTCTTTTTTTTAGGCATTTAATTACTTAAACATTACCCAACTCTTTTTGTTCCTTAATCTAACTCCTTACAATCCCCTACCTGTCAATCCCCCTTTTCTCTACTCCTCATTCACCTGACCGTCTGTGTTGCTTATACCTGCTGATCACTCTCAAATAAACTGCCTTTTGTTGAAAAATTAAAAACTCCAAAACAAAATTTAAAAAAAGGCCATCATGTCATGTGATGAGATTCAAGTCAAACAGTGGCACGCAAAGCAACGCTGCAGAATGCACCAAAAAATATTGACATCAGCCCAGGCAACACACACACACAGGACTCAGTCCTCTGACTGCACTGCTCTGTTTCATTATCTTTTTAGCTTTTTAAGAAGCTACTTCAAAGAAATATCCCTGTTTAATAAACAAATATATACATTGCATAACCTTTTTAATTGTTGTTCTATATCCTATGTGGGGCCTCTAGTAAGTGCAAATGTGAGAACTAAGCAAATAGACAATCCAATTTTCTTTTGAGGTTGTCATGAGACAACAGGAGTGTGTCCTTGTGTTTCTGTGTGATGGAGAGGCTAAGACCTTAAAGGTGAGATAAGGTGAGGCATGTAAATTCTGGTCATGAAGCAAAACTGAGAGGTAAAAAGGGAGAGAGGAACGCTAAAGCGGCATGAAAAGAGACGGTGTATAAAGATAGTAGTTAGGCAAAGGGATAAAGGTAATGAAAGAACAAGGAAGAACGATAGAAAGAAAATAATTTTGTAGAGCCAAAAAGAAAATATAAGTGGGTAGATAGAGAGAGCACCTGAAAAGGCAGACAGGTACAAATAAAGATAGAAAGTGACTTAATAAATATTTCAGAGATAATATAGGAAATAGTCTGATAATCAGATCAATTTATGGAGAGACAGTAATTAGTATATGAAAAGAAAAACAGAAACATGTGAGACAGAGAGGGATGCTATGAGTGGATAAATTAGAGAGGATTATTTTGAAGGAAAGATAGACACAGAGAAAGACACAGGGCAAGTGACACTGCTGTCATGTGAGGATGAAAGAATGCTGCTTACACACGGGCTGTCAGCTGAGGCTATTATTAAAGGATATAAGAGCCCCAGAACAAACCGGTCTGGGTCAGGCATGAACACATAGAGGCAGTATGAAAATATTAGGCATGTTATTGAATTAACATTAAATTGTGACCGTGTGTCATAGTTTGTTTGTAAAAACTCTGCTGGCCGGAGCAGCATGGGGCAGGCCAGTATCCAAAGAAGTCAGTCAAAAGACATAACTGTTAATGTTTGACAGGTATCATTGCACACATCCTTATTAGGACTGCTATACTGAAGTCAATAAAGACTTATGTCTCTTTGGCTGAAATGTTTTTTTGACAGTAGACCAACAACGAGTCTCATGCACTCATTGGCGTGCAGTCATAGACTGCCTGTTTGACACGCTGTCAGAATGAAAAGATGATATACCCAAAGGTCCAACTAGGGACAAGAGTTGGAAATTAGCAATAGCTATAAACTCTCTGTGCAGCACACAAGTTTCATGCTTTGTGTCGAAAAACTATGTCAAATTGGATCCTCCCTATTAAATCAGTTCAAATACCATAATATCTGTCTTAAAGACAACCTTGCCCTCCAAAATCATTCATATGACTTTGTGGTATCCAGTGAGACTGGATCATTCTGTTTCAAACCACTGAGAAAATAAAACTTTATAATCAACAACCACTTATCAAAATGGTTGTTGCACATGAGCCTGCTTTTCTTTTTGAACAGATGTAATAAATAATCAATTCCAAGAATCTGTAGTATATTTCAATGTTTATTATTTTTAATAACAATACCATCTATCTGATCCCTCTGTCAGACACCTTTCACTGTTTTGCAGCGAGACGTCCTGCAGAATAAGCAGGATAAGGTGCAGCATGTGTCCTCTGAACATTCTGACACAGTCATATGACATTGCAGCATGTCACGCCTGTGTGGCTTGTGTTTTGTTTGTTTGTTTTATTGCTTGTGCCAGTCTCTAGTGTCGGCTTTGCTCTTTTAAATGTCAGATTTCAAAGCCTTTTTACTTTCAACTTCGACCTGAGCTAAACACGCAAATGTTTTTGAATAGGCAGATAAAAAGGCAGGATAGTAAAGGGTAAACAGAGTTAGAGTTACAGAAATGTGTGGTGCAATATTTGTTCTCATCCTTCCTTCTTATCAAGGGAATCTTTTGAGGTTTTAGGCTTTTAAATAGTGTCTGCAAATACTCTACTGCATTGGTTGACTGCTAGTATTAACTAACTTGGTACATGAATGGCATTTCTAAATGACAACAGCTTCACATAAAACAAACATGTGACTCACGGTTATGGGGGTTTCCTCCGTGCCCCTCTTCTTGGCATTGGAGTCGAAGAGGACATTTCTGCCACGCCTCTCACAGTCCTGGTACACTATCAGCCTGATCTGACTGGGCTCCAGCTGGGGGACTGGCCAGCTGGGTGGATAAGAAAGAAAGAAAGAAAGAAAGAGGTTATGGTTTAGTAGCTAAAGTTGTTTCAGTTATGTTCATGATCAATAGTATAGAAAAGCAATAACCTGCACACATTCTAGATTACACAAATACGACATTCAATATTAACTGCAGTTATTCAGTCAAACCTACTACACATGTTTAACTAAAAATATCTCAAAAATATAGCTCTGTAGATATTAAAAACCAGAAGTGTAGATATATAGATATAAGAAATTGTAAGTGTACACATACAGGTATCTGAAAGCAAACTTGTTATTTGAGACATTTAACTGTGAATCTTAATAACAGCTGAGTTAAAACCCCTACAAGCACTGTCTTTAATGATACCAGAGACCCCTAGTATCCATAAACTCCCAAGACTTTTTCTTCCTGAAAAAATTATCAACAAGTCGTAGGATTTCTTTCTAAATAATGAGTTGGTGGGGGAAAAATGTAACAAAAATTTGATTGAAATAGCTGGATTATTGACATGTGTTTCCAGTCTATAAATCATATCAAAACACTGGAACTCGAAATGGGTCAATATAAGAGTGATATTGCATGTAAGACATTTTAAGCTGTCATGTACGTTAATGGTGTTGCATTTCTTTCTCTCAGTAAACAGTTAAGTAATCGTTAAGCAGTTTTGACTGCAGCTTCTTCTGTAAGACTGTTGCTAGGTAACCTGTTGTGTCATTCATCCTATTTCATCAATGCTGGTCATCTCAGTAATATTTTTGCATATTTACACCTCTCTATGGTATCAACAGGCCTTCACAAAGCTCAGGCAACCCCTTTTAGCTTCTGGGGAATGCTGGTCCCCTGGTTGATTTATAAAGGGGCTATAAAAATGACAGGGGATTGGACCAACAGATAAACAGTCGAGGATTTTGTGCCTGATCTGATGGATAGAGATGTGTCAGGCAGATGGACACAGAGTCTGACCTAAATATAGACTTTTATTGGGAGACAGGGAGCGTCCCTTAACCAAAGTGTTTACAGTAAATGGCTTTGTGGGGAGGGGTGGAAAAGGAACAGTTAAGTCCATGTCACTCTCCAACAAAATAACACACACAAGGCCAGATTTAGAAAACAGCATTTCAGTTGTTCGTCTATGAGCCTTGACAGGGCAGGGAATACCTGTCAGTGAAAGTTTGTTCGTGCATTACCATATGTGGAAGCTATTATTTACACAACATAGGTGTCAAAGTATGACCAGCATTCTTGGCAAAATTATTCAGTCTTCTTAAAATCCGAAAATTTACACTGTATGGAAGATGTGCCTCCATGCAGGGATATAATTACAAGCACTTCAGTTTTAAGACGACTTTTAGATACAAATTGCTGGAGCCGCAAAGATGAGTGTCAAGTTTTTGCTGTTTCCGGCTAATAAAATGGAACCTTTTTGTAAATTATTTACTATTTTTCTTTGGCCTTCATGACAGCAGATGAAAAATCTTTGGGTTTGAATTGTTGATTGAACAAAGTGTTAGTAGCAGCCCTAAAAGTACAGATTAATGTTAAAATGTGTTCTAGCTGTTCTAGTGATGTTCTTTGACTTTCAGGGATCATTCAAAATAAAATAAAAACAGTGTCGATCAAGTCACAAATACATGTTTACTTTTACCTATAATAAAAATAGCTTGGATTTAAATAGTGTTTTTGGAGGGACCCAATTATGCTTAACATTGAGGCAGAAAATGTAACCCCCTGTTTACCTGGCTGGTTGCAAAAAGGTGACAATGCATGCGCAGCCTGCACAATGAGCTCAAAATTGCATTGTATGGGGTCAGGTGAATATTCAGCTCCAAGTCTTGTGAGTAAGATTACAACTCAGCTGGTTGTTTTAGTCTATCACATGCCTCTTTCATTTGGACTACAGCCTTTAATAAGTGGGTTATTTAAACATTTACCTTTGCTTTTGTTTTTATGTAATCAGCCATTGTGCATTATTGCTTGTCTTGGTAAACACACATTTATACTATTGAGTCAGACGAATTGATGATGTAGTAATCTCAACATTTGCTGTTGTAATGCAATTTTAAATGAACAAAAGTTGATCAGATATGAGGGCAAAAGTTGCAAAAAAGAGATGTCTTTGTCTTCAGATCAGCCCAGACGACACCGGCATATTTTGACACCATGTTCACTGCTCCCTTTGTTTTAAATATAACAGAGACAAAACACAGAGCGAGAGATGTAAGTGAAAATCCATATGCAAAATGCAATAATTAAAAACAGCAAAAAAGCCAGACCATTTTAAGGAATGGAAAAAGAAGGAGAAAATATTTCCACTTGTAAGATGAAGACAACAAATAAAAATGAGGTTCACTACAAGAGCAGGACCAGAGACAAAGAACAAAAGCCGAGAGCAACTAACAAAAACAAGATTGCTTAATGTGAAAATGAAGTTAACACTGAAAGACTATGGTGAGAAGTACAAAATTAAGCCTACATTTTTAGAGAAAAGATCAACAGCAAAACAAGAAAGTCTTGAAGTAAACATAAAAGGGATTGAATGCAAGGCGAGGCAAAGGAGGAAGTATCCCATCGGTGAGCTTGTGACAGTCACAGCGCTGACAGAAGAGAGAGGGGAGTCATTCATAAAAGCAGCACATGACTGTTACATACTTGTACTGCGTTGACCTCGATTGTCTGAACCACAATTGACTTTAACGTTCTCGGGCAAACAAATATAGGTATTTATTTCCTTGAAGAGCCCAACAAATAAATCCCCATGACCAGTTTTAATTACATTTTTAAAAGTGAGCCTCTTTGAAATGATTCAAGTTATCTTTCACAGGTATGGAACATACACACTCTGACCCAAAACTCCACCCACACACTCATTAATGTTCATTATATAACATTGACCTCAAATGATGGAATCAATCCCCATCTTCACCACACTGCCCGATTCTAAAAACATACAGACTCGTTCTCCCAATCTGCAAGTCTCGCCTAGCTGAAAACAGCCACAGGTTGACAACATACCACAAAAATTCAAACAAACAACAACACAGACAAATAATGTTTTCCATCCTCAACCAAAAATACCATGCCCATTTGGATGCACACAAACCTGGTTAAACATTACCAACTCCTACCTGGGCATCATGGCGAGTCTGCCAGTCTTTCCCCAGCCCTCTCCCTCTCCCTCTCTATTCCTCTCTCTTCTCTCCTCTCTTAGCCAAAGCAGTCTAAGAATAGCGGTGAACTAAATTCACACAACAACATGAGACTGTCAGGTGATCGCAGGAGCACTGTGTGTGCTGGACAGTACAGAGGCAGCAACAGCAGTGAGCCCGGACTGCTGACTGCCCGAAAGTGCTGTGATAAGAGGGAGCAACAGTGGGGATTTGTTTGTGACTCGATTCTTAATCCCGCTCTTTTTGTTCCTCTCTCCCTTGCGTTCCTGTGTATCTTCCTTTATCTTTCTCTCTTGAATAAACAAAGAAAATATCTGTAAATGTAAACCCTTCCTCTTAACAACTGCAAGAGCAGGGAGGGAAAACATGTTAAGGGAAAGCTTTCCAGAAGTTGATTATACTAACTCTTCCTTTACATAAAAATGGATTATGGTTAGAATATTGACACATGCCAGCTTAATGACATTTGTAGCAAAAGTAGCAAAGACAGTAGAAAGTGTAATATAACTCCTATACCAAGAACATCAAGCAAAAATCCATGAGTCATTATTAAAAATGTTGAACTCTGGTGACTTCCAGTAAGTGACAAAGTTGAATGCTGCATCATTTCAATAGTACATGAGCCTTCATTCAATCATTTTACCATGAGGTTAAAAAGTATGAAAAAGAAAATGAGAAGGAATCATTTAATTCAAATTAGAAATTTGGCATTTCACTCCCTAACTGAACTGGTTGCAACCTTAATGTTGATGCATTTTATTCTCTCTGCAAAAGAAGGACAATTCTAAGCTTCACTTGGTTGGAATTTATTCCAGTAAAGGTCACAACGGAGCAAAAAGGTTTTCTTGACTGACATCAGCCTACTTACTGACCTCAAAGAGCCCTTGCTCTCTCACTCTCTCTCTCCTCTGCTACTGGAACATCTGTGAATGTTTGTATGTTTGTGCGTGTGCGCCTGTGTGGTGTGATTGTGTGTCAGTGTTTTTCAGAGACAGTTACATAAATATACCCTCAGTCCAAGCTGTCTGACGTTCTTCCGGCTGTTTAGGTTTCTGGTAAGTTCAACAGCTTATGAAAGCTGCAAACCTTATCAAAGTCTTATTATATATCCGCTTTTATGACAATGTATTATTTAAATTGTTCTGTAAACATCTAAATATGCATGTATACAGTAAAGAACTAATTATCAATAATTCTTACTGATGTGCTTCTTCTGTTATTTTGTATTGTTATTTAGATCAGTGGTCCTCAACTGGTGAGTCAGGGAGCTGTTTTCAGTGGGTCGCAAATGTGTGTCTGGAAAAAAACTGTCAAAAAGACTGTGAAGCCCTTTTAAAACATGTGAGTTTTGTTTGGTGTTGTTTGAATATACTGACATTTATTAAAGCTTTTCTTCTGCTGAAATTTTGTCAAAATGTAGCCTATTGAACATATTGGCTCATTTGTGGCAATCAGGCGACTTTCCCATGACAAGACTGAATCATTTCTGCAAGAAAGATACTCATCACTGTAGTAACAGAGAAAGACAAACATCTTATCTCTTGAATCTCTCTACTCATAAGTCTGTACACTCTCAAAACACATACACTTAATATTTATTCTCACATCTGCATGTGTGTCAATCTAAATGCTCTTATGTAGAGAATGTAGAAATTAGCACGAGTGCTGGACTAATATGGACTAATTATGGGTCACTGGTGGCACAGTGGTCATTGGCGTGCCCCATATATGGAGGCCATGGTCCTCCAAGCGGGCAGCCCAGGTTTGAATCCCACCTGTGGCTCCTTTCCCGCATGTCATTCCCTAATCTCTCTCCCAGATTTCCTGTCCTCT